ATATCTAGTCTTTTAATTTTCAAATTATTTACTTATGCTTATATATTGTTATATTACTTATTTTGGTTTATAAATTTATATTTGTGTTAATTTTTATTTTAGGTAATTATTTTGTTAAAATTTATATTAAACCAACTCACCTTTCTTCTTGGTTCATTCATTCTTTTGAGCTAACATAAAAGATAATCTTCTCATTAGAAAACATTATGTATGAGAGTTAAGGGCTTTCAATTATAAATTATCCAAAGAATTCATATATGAGATATATGGAATTTTCAATACATCATTTTTAGAATAGTGGGAATAATTAAAATAGATATTCCTTATAAAGTCCCATATCTAGATTTATTGCTAATCCACAATAACTTGGTTAGACATAAGTCCTTAATATATTTACATCTTATTTAAGCAGAGTGTAAAGTAAAAAAAAATAGGTTATGGAACACTTGAGATAAACCTTCCATGCAAGTAGAGAAGTGAGATGCCTCTTTTTTTTTTTTTAGAGTTATCATAGAGTACTTGCTAACACGAGACTTAGCAAAGGCCCATGAAATAATTACATTAGGGGCAGATGGTTATAATGGGCAGTGAGACCAAAGCCCTTTTAAGATTTTGAAATTCTCTTTTTATTGTGTATTTGCATTTAATAAATTTAATTAGAATTTGTTTAATTTAAACTTTTAAAATTAAATTGATATCTATCTATTTATTTTACCTATTAATCACTATTGACAAATATTTAAAATCGATTAATTTGTAATAACTATTAAGTCATAATTCGTTTAAATTTAAAAGAATCTAATTTAACTTTTTAAATTCTAACTTTTATTGAGCAAGATAAATTAAAATTAAAATTTCAATTGAAACAATTTGAGTGTGACATGCACAATGATGTGAAACATCAAAATTTATCTATTTTATCACAATTGTGTTTATTTTAATAGAAATTCAAAAATAAAATATATATTATCTCATTAATAGATTGATCAAATTTATTTTAATTTTTTTTTATATCTACAATAATTAGCGAGTTGAGCTAGCATTTCAGCTACAAAAATCATCAAATAAGACTATGAGATAAGAGGGAAGATGAGTTTTTTTATAAATAACTTAGTTGTAACATCGAAAGAAATATTTAGTTTAGATTCAATTGTTAAAGATTTTATTTTTAAAAAAGAATATTGCTAACAATTTTAAATAAAATTATTTATTTGGTATATTTTATTTTCTTATAATTTAATTTTGAATTAATAAAATTTAATATTTTGTAAGTTTATTATTTTTTTAGTATATTGTTACATATATGTTTTATGTTAATAAAATATATAGTAGTATAACTCAAATAAATATATATAATTTTTAATTTTTAATTTTTAATTGGCTTCCTCAAAATCAAATATTAAGATCTACCACTGAATTATGCTACCTTTGAGGAACTTCCAAACCAATGTAACACGTGAATATTGTTATTTGTGTCTCACATTTAATGTAAAGGCTCAAGCCATAGCCACCTTTAGACATGCACTTGCACAAGATCCAAATTGTATTGTCTTTAGGATTTTATACATATGCACTCTTTGGTAATAAGTGGAGGATTATGGCATATATATTACCAAAGAAATGTTTTTATAAAATGAAAATATTGTTTTACAATCATTTATAATGCATGTATGTTAAGAAAAAGTGTTCTGGATGTATAAATAAAACTTTAGAATGAAATAGCAAGGAAGTAGTTAACTGAGCAATTTGATTGTCCTAACAACTAACCCTGAGCAGTTAACTGTCCAGCAACTACTCATAAATAAAAAATTTCAGGAACTTTCTGTTTGAGAAGAGAAGTCGGCTGTCTTTAAAGAGCAATCTACTGCCTTACCCAAAAAAGTGCGCAATTGATTTCTGAGGAGATGGCATCTAAATGCTTGCATTCTATTTGAGCAAAGTAATCAACTGCCTTAAAGGGCAATCGACTGCTTAAACTAATTTTGCCTTGCGGAAATCGACCGTCTAAGACACTCAACCAAACCTTATATTCTGTTTGAAAAAGCTGTCAACTGCCCTGGAGAGCAGTCGATTGCTCCTTCCCATATTACATTGGGCAATCAACTGCCCAACAATCTGAGATTCTGTTTCTAGAAAAATGGTTAAGATAGTCGACTGCCCTTGTAAAGCAGTCGAATGCTCGTGATGAAAATTCAAAAAATAAATTCATTGGATGTGTTATTTTAGTCCTCATGAAGTGTTACTTCATTCAAATGATGTCCATTCATAGAAAGACATTTAAGATGTCTTTTAGGGCTTTTAAATACTTCTCTAAACACTCATTCTAGCACATCTTTACATTATTTCAAATTAAATTCAGATTTTCTCTTCTTTTACTTTAGTTTTGGTTTTGGTTCACAAGAGTTCTAAGAAAAACTTGAAGTGCAATCATCTTCTTCTTCGTTGGTCATTGTATCCTAGGAACAATGTTTCTTGTAATCATTTTGCACCTAGTGGGGAAACTATTGTTTTTAAGAAAGCTTTCAGAAAGTGTTCTGCCTAAATTCTTCATTTTTGTTCTTTCATCTCCAACAAAGTTACATAGTTGCTATTGACACACTTACAATAGAAGTGCATAGCTGGAATGCCCTACTATGCCCAATCTCGTTGCAATTAAACCACTGAATAGAGATCCAACAAAGGCATCCTCTAAACATGTACTTACACCCAAACCTCATAAAAACGGTGATAGCAGGTTAGATTTTAAACTTAGATCTACATTTTTTTTAGAGGTTTTTAGGGAAACCTAAATTGTTGGAAGGAAAAGAAGGTTGAAATGAGTAATAAAGTTGTTTTTAGAAAGAAAATCATTGTCAGCAAAATCGAGGCAGACAACGACCAGACGCCAAATTCTGAGTTCTCATGATGACTCTGGATTGGATATGAAGAAATAGATAGAGTGGGATGGAATTCGTGAAATGAAAATTGAAAAAAGGAAATGAAAGAAAAATAATTTATTTTTAAAAATAATAAAATGGAATAAGTCAGCTACCATGTTTATTTTCTTTTGCTAATTATAGTTACAATAGTTAATGTGCTGTGCAATGCATTTTCTCAATTACCTAAACGAATCTTTATTTGTTAAAAAAAAAAGGCAGATCCTAATTTATAACAAATAAAAAGTTTGGTAGCTATGTGAAAAAGGAAAAATCATTTTTATTGCTTAAAAATTAGTGAAAGGTTCCACTACATTATTCAAAAGTGAATAATGCATTTCTAACAAAATTTATTATTGAAATTTAATGATTTTAAGTTGAATATAAAAAAATAAAAATAATTTAAACAAATATTAACCATAAATTTAGTTAAAAGTTCACTTATCACCTTTAAATAAAGTAATAAAACTTTCACTATTTTTTCAAATAATAGATAGGACCCTTTCCTTATAATATAAACTTATTTAATATTAAATTGATCATTTAACGAACTTAATCCAAAGAATCATATTTAAATGGGTTAAATACAAAAATCCTCCTTTTATTATATATTTTTATCAGTATGTTACATAAAAAAAATAAAATTCATAATTAGGCATTCAATTTTTTTCCATCACATTATTTAATGTTTCGGATTAGCATCATTAGTCAAATTATTGACGCAATAAAATCATGACACATTGTGATAAAATAGTATGTCAATGGTGGGTTCATTGTTACGTGAAATTAAAAGAAAAAATTACAAAAAATAAAAAAAAAACTTAAAAAGAAAAAAAATATGAAAAGCTTTAAAAATCCTAAAAATAAAATTTTCTAAAAATTTAAAAAATCTAAGAAATTAAAAACTTATAGAAAAAATCTAAGAATTAAAAAACATTCCCAAAAATTTTGAAAGAAGTACAAAAAATTTAAAAATAAAGAAAATGTGAAAATTAAAAAAAAAATTAAAAATTAAAAATCTAAAAGATTAAAAAATCTCAATTTGTTTAAAAAGAAAATACTATGAAAAGTTAAAATTTTGTAAATTTGAAAAAAGAAATCTAAAAACTTATAAGATCCATAAGAATAAAAAAAAAAGTGAAAAAATAAAAAAATTGAAAACATTAAAAATTAGTAAAAAATTCAAAAAATATGAAAATTAAAAAAATCTATAAATTTTTGAAATTTTTAAAAATTCCAAAAATAATTTAAAAAATAAAATTTTTGAAAAATAAAATATTCAAAACTCAGAAATATGAATATATGAAAATAAAATAACGGCCTATTTTTTCATATTTTTCAAAAATTTTAAATTTGCTTTTTTTTTTTTTCAAAATTTTGAATTTTATAATTTCTTCAATTTTTTTGGAATTTTAAGATTTTTTAATTTTCCATTTTTTTAATATTTTGTTTTTTAAATGTTTTGGATTTTTTATTTTTAGGTTTTTTTTTCAATTTATTGTTAATTTCTTCAAATTTTTATATATTTTTATATTTTTATGATTTTTTGAAATTTTTAGATTTTTAGAGTTTCTATTTTTAGATATTTTATTTTTGTATTTTTAACATTTTAATACTAACATGTTAATTAATAATATAACAATTACTAAACAATTTTGACATGTATCAAAATTTTATTAAATGTTATTATCGCATCAATAATTTAACTAACGACAATAATCTTAAAGATCAAAGTTTTCAACTAAATAAAAATTTAAATATTTAATTATGAATTTTTTTCTTTTAACATTAAACCAGTAGAAAAACATACAATGATAACAATCTTAAAAATCAAAGCACGGATGAAATATAAACTCAAATATCTAATTAAAATTTTTTATTATTTTAATATAAAAACATATAATAAAAATTTTAATGAATATTTAACTCTATTCAAATTTTACCCAAAAAATTAAAAAACAAATGCCGACCACAAAAAAGCGACATTGGCCATTAGGTAGGAAATTGAGGGTGGCCATAGGGCATTCGTCAGCATTTATGAGAAAAAGGAAAAGAGAATTTGTCATTTAGCTATTAGCACCGGTTTTTAAGATAAGTCTAGGAAGAAAAACCTCTACCGCACAAAGTAGAAAGCGAGAAAAGGAGGAAAGAGAGGGAGGTTGAGGAAGTCTTCGGCTATGGTGTATTCGGCAAGAAAACATATTCTACGCTCGTATTCTAAATTTTCTTGCCGACTCCACCCATGCCTATGATTTCCTTTGGTTCCTTTTTATCCTCGCTTCTCTCACCCAAAAATAAACTAAGATCTCTGCCTATTTTTAGGTTAAACAGTAGTGAAGAGGGAAAGGAGAGGGAGTTAATGAAAGTTTTTGGGAGTGGGGTGGGTGGAAAGATTTGTATTATCTCTTGATTTTTTCGTAATCTCTCTTTTTTTAGATCTTTGAAAGAATAAAACAAGGGATCCAGAAAATCTTTCCAACTCCCCCCATTCCACTGATTTCCAGTTCTTCCTCTCCATTTTCTTACTTTTTTTTTCAATCCTCTGTTCCATCCTCTGCTCATGCCCGATCTTGGTAAGTTAAATCGACAAATATTACCTTTTTTTTACTCTTCTTTTTGTTACATAAACAAACATTTCTTTTCTCTGTTTTAACTGGCTTTCAGGCATCTTCTGACAGTTCAGCTAAGAAATCTTTCCACAGGAGCATCAACCCTTGGATTCAGCTTGTAGTCCTTTTATGTAAAAAATTATTTTTATGTTAAAAAAGATAACTTAGAAAAAAAAAAAAAAAAACCTTCACATCCTTAAATATGCCTCAAGAAGAATCTTGAATTTATATGCTAATTATATAAACAATTTTATCTACAATTAGAGAAAATCCTGGATCTGCCGCTGGGTTGTTGAAGATTAAAATAACTGCTGATTTATTGATTAAGTTTAAAGGTTAGGTGAGGTTTAATTTTTTTTCCTCCTTTTGAAAAGTTTAAGACCGTTGAACGATGAAAATGTCGTAGATCTATGTAGAACTGTTAATTTTAAATATACGAAAATGATTCAACATGAAACGATATGAAAAATATATATCAAACTACTATGCATTAAAATTTTAATAAAAATTATTTGTGAATTAGATAAAGGTTTTAGAAAATTGAATTTAAATATAAATTTTATATAATAATTTTTATGTTTTATTTGTATTTGATATATTTATGATATAAATATCTAAATTAGCAGATTTAGATATAAGATAGAGAATACCTGTAAAATTAGAATATGAATTAATGTTTTGGCCTCAGGAGAATATATGAATTTAAAATGTAGGTTTTATTCATGTATTTGATTATATATTTATCATTTACTAAATAAATTATTTTATATTCACGTCTTTTTAAGCAATAAATTACTACATATTTTATTTTACTTAAATATATTTATTTTATTTGTTATTTGATGTTCTATGCATATATATATATATTTTTTAATCTTGAAGCTATTTTATTATTTTGTGTTATTGATTATATAAAAAGCGTTTGCAACCCTAAAGCATTTTTTTATTTTTTTTTAAGTTTTTATGTTATTATTTATTTGAATGACAGAAAAATTTATATATATATATATAAATTTTCTAAAATTTATAATTTTTAAATGTCAATTTTATTAACATATCAATTAATCTAAAAAACAAACTTCCTAAGCATTATTAAATTCGGTTAAAATATGTAAATAAAATTTTTAGAAAGAAAATAAAAAGGAAAATCAAATCATTATTCTATATTTTAGAAAGAGAAAGCAACATCATGAGTTTTCTTGAACGACGCAAAATACTTGTAAGTGATAATGACCTTTAAAGCCTTGTTGTTCTTATATATATTCGTGTGAAAATATTTTATAGGTATAAACCTTAAAATCTATGAGTTTCAAATGATAATTTTAATGTTATGTTAATTAAAATATAAATTAATTAAAATTAATTTAATTAAAATTTGAATAATATCTTAATCTTAATGCAAACTTGAAAATAAAGTGTATTGAAAATAATTTGAATAAAATATATTTTATTTATTTTTTTCAACTTAAAATAACTTGATTCGTAGTGATTTGCCATTTTGCGTACAGGCAACGTTAGCATTTGTTAAGAGATTTACTTATGGGTGCTTGTGGTCGCCTATAAACAATCATTAAAGTGGGATACCGATGTTTTCTTTTTATAAAGTAATGATGCGATTTTTGTATTGCTTTTGTTAAAGGTTGATTTTACTTATTAGCAAAAGAATTCAATAATTTGATATAAGCAAATCTTTTATTTATTTATTTATTTATTTATCATAACAAAGATAAAATTGAAAAATAGTAAAAAAGCTATTGGAAGTAAAATACAAAAGCGCAACGAACCTCAATAAGTGTAATTATTTCAAAGTGAACTTCTTTCCTCCTACAAATACATAAAGTTTGGCTACCAGCCTGTCCGTTACATAGGAGTATTCCATTAATAATTTTTTATTATAATTTTATAATTAATTATAACAAAAAATTAAGTAAAATTTATCATTTAAAAACATAAATTTTCATATTTTTTATAAATTATATATAATTTTAAATTATAACTAATTAATTGCATTACAATAATTACAAATAATATGCTCTTATCATCCATAGTTGGGATTTAGTTGGAAAGTACTTTTTTGTCCACGATTATATATTTGTGATTGTATCAAGCAGAGTCAATTTGCTTTTGATACTCAATATTTCTTTATTTTTTTGTTATAAAAAAAGTTTTTTTTTTATTAAAATTAGCCACTATATTTGATTTGATTAAATTTTATCATTGTAATTTTTATTTTTTACGATTTTTTATCACCTCTAATGGAAATAAATTATTCCGTTAAATATTTCATTACTATATCTTTGAATTAATAAAGAATAAATAAGTTATAAAAATTTAGAATTAAAGTTTTTGTTTTTGGAAAACAATAAAAATAAAAAATAAATTTTTTTCTTAAAATTTTTATTTTTAAAATAAAAAATAACTTATTTTTCAAAAAAAAATTTAAACTTGATTTTTTAAGTAGGATACATGTAATGCTAATTTACTATTACTGTTGTAGTTGAGAAAAGTTTTGTTTGAAAAAATTGCATTTAAAAATTGATATAAAAAATTGATGTGAAAAATTATGATTTAAGATTTTTGAATGTTTGTTATTGTTGTGAAAATTTATTCTGAAAAATTAAAATGTCTAAAAAAAATGATGTTGGAAAGAAAAAATAGGTTATTCTATCAAAAATAAATAATTGAATGGATACTTGGTGATTTTCCCTTCAAACTATAAATTCAAACCTTAAATATACCTCTCAATTGGTTTTTACAATTGATTCATTTTTAAATTTATTTTTAATGAAAAAAATTATTTTAAATTAAACTGTAATATGTTTAGTATTGATTTTATATTCAAAAGCTACGTTTTGAAATGCAAGTGCAATGCTAAATGACTTTTATAAAATATTACACTAAGTTTAATTTTAAGTTATTGCGTCTTATAAAAGCGTACGCTAAGTTTGAAACACTTTCCGAATGATTCGAAGGAAAGACATTAAACATTTAACCTTCAAAATTTTTATTATTCTTATACATAATATCATAACATTATTTTCATTTCTTCAATTCAAACCATTTATGGCGTCCCTAATGAGAGAAATTTCTCTTCATACTTTTTTAAAACTGTAGCAGAAAAATCCTTGCGGTATGCATTATAAATTTTTAGTTTTTAAAAATTATAAAATTTCAAATAAAATATTTTCAAAAATACTTAATAAATGTAATAATAGTCTATTGACTCTTTAAATTAATTGATATATTATTAAAATTAGTGCTTGAAGGTTACGTATTTTGAAAAATTTATACGTATAATATTCTTTGTAGTTAAATAAATAATATAATAAGGGGTTTAATCGTAGATTAAAAATTTTAAAAACAAAAAAATAGTGAAAAAAATTAGTATAATAAAAAAATTTAACATTTTTTTTATTTTCACCTCTTTCATCATTATGTATTTTTTCCTCTTTTATCTCTTTTTTTTTTTTAAATTTGAAAATACAATCTGATAGATTAGCTATGTATATTTCATAGTTTGCAGTTTTTTTAAATAATTATTGATCATATTTTTATAAGAAAATTATTTTTAAAAAAAAGTTAAAAGAAAATAAAGATTGATGAGAAATGTCTAAGAGCTTTTTTATACATAAAAACCCAAATTTTCATTTTTGTCAAAACTCCAAAATTTTATATATATGTTTATCTTTTATTTTTTATCTCTCTTCTTTACTTTGAATTTTTTATAATTTTTTACAAAAACCATTTATAATTTTTAAAACTAAAAATTTACTAACAAGATTTCATATATTTTATATTTTTAAACTATTCTATATTATGATTTTCAATAGCAATTATATAAAAATTAATGAAAAATGAAGAAAGAGAAAATAAATTTGAGACAAATAAGTATAGTAAAACGAAATTATATTTCTCATTTTTCCTTTTTATAATATTTTTATTTCTCCTTATTTCTCTCTTTCTTTTTATTAAATAATCCAATATATTTTTACTTAATGTAAAAACAAAAAAACTAATTCACTAAATATATAATTGTAAATTGTTTTTTTAATTAAAACTCCAAAATTATATATATATGTTTATCTTTTTTCTTTTTATCTCTCTTCTTTACTTTGAATTTTTTATAATTTTTTACAGAAGCCATTTATAATTTTTAAAAATAAAAATATACTAACAAGATTTCATATATTTAATATTTTTAAACTATTCTATATTGTGATTTTCAAGAGCAATTATATAAAAATTAATGAAAAATGAAGAAAGGGAAAATATATTTGAGACAAATAAGAATAATAAAAAGAAATTAAATTTATCATTTTTCCTTTTTATAATATTTTATTTCTCCGTATTTCTCTCTTTTCTTTTTATTAAATAATCCAATATATTTTTACTCAATGTAAAAACAAAAAAAACTAATTACTAAATATATAATTGTAAATGGTTTTTTAATTAATTAAAATTAAAATATTTTAAATTAAAAATAAAAAAGTCAAAAACTCGTTTTCTCTTTATTCTTTTTTTTTCTTTTTCTTTTAGTTTTATACTTCTCTTTCTTTTTCTATTGGTGGCGAAGCAAAGGTGGATGAACCCTCATTCACCGCCACTTTTCTCTTTCCTTTGCTTCTTTTTTTTCTTTCCTCTCTTCCCATTCTCCAATGGCCGATCATCCCCTTTTGTTGTTCGTCCACCTGCCATTTCTCAAGTTGCCTCTCTCATTTCCTACCTTTTATTTTCTCTGCCTAATCTTTTTTTTTCTTTCATTTTCTTTTTTATTAAAAAATAAAAACCTTAAATATGGATATACAAATTGGTAAGAATAAAAAAAGATAATTTTAATATTTGAAAATTTTTTCTTAAATCCTTCAAGAAACAAAAATATAATATAATATATCCAAAAACACATTAAAGTAGCATTTGGTATGATAGTGATCTACACGTGGTAATTAAATTACTGTGTTTGATGAGTACTAGGTGATTTTATATGGTCATGATCTTGAACTATCAAGAGTGATTAGATCATTATCTTGGTGAATGATCTAATTTTTAAAAAAATGATAAAAAAGTTTTATTAGCTGTCATAATGTTCAAATCCGAGAATCTGCTCATTAGACATAAAAATCAAGAAATTACCATCAATATTTTTTATTTAGGTGCAATTGAACATTTATACATATCTATCTTTTTAAGGTTGTTTTAACTTGACTAAGTATT